AATAAGGTCTTTGGATGATAGCAGGCCCCAGAATAAAGAGGCATGAACCAACCAATAAAGAGACATAAACACATCTATATTGACTAGGGCTATTTAGACTAGAGGTCATAATGCTTTTCTCAGCTGTTCTTCCGGATTTAATGATGAAAAAGACCACTCATGCTGAACAAGTAGTGAGGTTTTATTCTTCTTTCATTCCAAAATATCAGGTAACAATGAAGCATAATAGTTTAAAGTCAGCTCTGGCTTCATCTGCAGCCAGAGCTGTATTTATGCATGTCATACATTAACTAATTACATAATTAAGGCATCCAGCATCCGGCCAATGCTGACAATGATTACAACCATCCGGAATATCTATCACACCAGGTTACTGTTCACTACAAAATATACAGGTTATGTTCTAACCTAAATAAAAGCTACTGAGTGGGCAGTTGAATGTGACAGTTGGAAGGAGTTGTTGTTGTTAGTTGCGAAGCCATGTCCGACCCATTGTGACCCCATGGACAATGTTCCTCCAAGCCTTCCTGTCCTCTACCATCTTCTGGAAGGAGCTGAGCAGATGCCAAAAATAGGCAGCATAATTTGGGGTCCTTAGAAGGCAGAGTTATGGAATTCAATCATCTCTGTTAGATTAACAATAATTAATAATAAATCACATGGAGGAAATCCCCTAAAATGCAGGGAGAACTTCAAAACTATCCAGTAAGGAATATGCATGGTTTTAGGGCATAAAATCCTAGCTACTGCCTGGGATGAGGAATAGGTATTCTGGGCAAGAAGAGACTGTTTGGTTGTTATGGACTCTATGGGAAGTTTCCTTTACACCTTGGAGTAGATGCTTCTTGGTCTGAGCTAATGATGAAGTCTGATATACTTTCCTGTCAGGAGTTAATTGTCAGGTTAGCCATGCTGGGAAGGAAATATAAGAAAACACCCCAAGAGATGGAACAAAGAAGATGAGTATTACACAATCATCCAACACACACAGCCCTAAGTATTTAGTTTGGACTTCCTTGATCTATCACCCTCCAGAGACAGTGGATTAAAACTCCTACCACTTCCATCAACAAAAGGGGATGGGAATGTGTGTGAGATACTTGGAGAACTCTAAATTAGCTTATTTCATGAGTCAAACAGAATGGAACCTTCCAGAATTACAAACACTCTGTTACATTTACTTAACCCTGTAAAAATAAAAAGGGCTTCCAATATAGCCAAGAGAGATAAGTAATTGAATAGAATAGAATAACACAGTTGGAAGGGTTCTTGGTGGTCTTCTAGTCCAGTGGTCGCCAACCAATGGGCTGGGGACCACTGGTGGTCCATGAGAAAATTTTGGTAGTTCATAGAGAAATGTCACCCCCAAAGCACCCCCCCCAAAGCAATTAATCCTGGCTGCATGGGAACACAAGGCTTCACCGCCCACATGGCCCATGGGAACACAAGGCTTGCATCGCTTGCATTGTGAACAATACGAGGTAGTGAGGGGAGGGAGGAAAGGGCGGAGGGCAGGAACTTGCCCCACTCACCCCATGCACCTCGCCTGGCCACTGGGCTGCTTCTTTCCGTTTCTTTCATCTTCTGCTTTTGGATGCACACAAGGAAAGCAGCAAAAGTCTTTCTTTCTCTCCCCCAAACTCCACCAGAAATGAGTCTTTGGGACCCTGCAAGGCATCCTGCTCCAAGAGGCTGCGCTGGTGAAACAAGTCTCACAAAGACTCATTTTTGGTGGAGTTTTGGGGAGAGAAAAAAAGACTTCTGCTGCTTTCCTGGCATGAAGCCAAAAGTCTCTCTCTCTCTCTCTCTCTCTCTCTCTCTCTCTCCCCCTGAGAATGGAGCTGGAGACGGTATCCTGTGATCCCAAATAAAGAATGCTCGATCAGTAGGAAAACAGGGTGGGGAATTTTCCTGCAGACTTTTTTGGGGGGATTTCCCCAGGGTCTCTGGTCCACGGGATTTAAAATTATGAGTTTGGTGGTCCCTGAGGTCCAAAAGGTTGGTGATCCCTTTTCTAGTCCAACCCCCTATTTAGTCAGGAAACCCTACACCACTTCAAACAAATGGTTATTCAATCTCTTCTTTAAAACTTCCAGTATTGGAGCATTTACAACTTCTGGAGGCAACTTGTTCCACTGATTAATTGTTCTACTGTCAGGAAATTTCTCCTTAGTTCTAAGTTGCTTCTCTCCTTGATTAGTTTCTACCCATTGCTTCTTGCCCTGCCCTCAAGGAGAATAGCTTGACTCCCTTTTCTTTGTAGCAGCCCCTGAGATATTGGAACACTGCTATCATGTCACCTCTAGTCCTTCTTTTCATCAGGCTAGACCAGGGGTTGCCAACCTTTTGGACCTAAGGAACCAGCAAACTCATAATTTTAGATCCCAGGGACCACTAACTGGTTCTGTGGGTGTGGCCTAATTTGTGGGTGTGGCTTGGTGGTCATGTGACTGGCTGGGCATGGCTTGTATGTAAATATTATATATATTTATATAAATATTGGAATTTTTTATAAAAAAGAACAACTTTTACCCAAAATCAGGCAAAACAGGCAGGCAGATTGAGTTGCTCACAGAATCACAGATTCATTCAGAGATCTATCTATCTGCCATCGGCTAGCTCAGTCTGTCACATAAAATTTGCTTGCAAGCAAACTCATAAAATTTGCTTGCAAGCAAACTCACAAAATTAACTCACAACACACCATGTATGTAAATATTGATTTTTTTATTAAAAAAGAGTAACTTTTACCCAAAATCAGGCAAAGCAGGCAGATTGAGTTGCTCACAGAATCATTCAGTGATCTATCTGCCATCGGCTAGCTCAGTCTCTCAAATTTGCTTGCCGTGAGTCTGCAATGAATTTGCTTGCAAGCAAACCTTCAGTCCTAAGGGAGGTTCGGCTATCCTTAAAAGCAGAGCCGAAGATCTAAAGACTAGCTAGAAAGCAAGAAGTCCAACCATTTCCTGCTTCCTATCTAATCTAAATCTCCCGGAACAGCAAAATAGCTGGTGGTTGGAAAAACAAAAGGAAAAATAGCAACTTAGCAGGCAAGTTTGCCAGATAAGGAGTGAGTGGGCAGGGAGGGTTCCTGCAGACCATGTGGGTGGCTCAGCCTTGTGTTTCTGCGCAGCCTGGATTAATTGTTTTGGGGGGGGGTGCTCTGGGAGTGAGATTTCTCTGCGGCCCACCAAAATTTTCTCACGGCCCACCAGTGGACTGCGGCCCACCGGTTGGCAACCGCTGGGCTAGACAAACCCAGTTCCTGCAACTGCTCTTTATATGTTTTAGCCTCCAGTCCCCAGCACGCAATGGATATAGAATATGTCTTAAATGCCATGCAGAAATTTAAATTAAAGTCAACCAATTTCAAAATAAGTATATTTGACACAGGTGTCTGCTTAATAAATAAGGCAAATGGAATTAAAAGGGAACAAGTTGCCCCTTGGAATCAATACAGTTCAACAAAGTTGCTCCAGGCAGAAATGTTACACAATACCCTTTGGAGAACCGACTTCAGTAACAAAAAAAAAGGGGTGGGGGGGTTTGGTAGTAAGTAAAAGGAATTTATACAACCCTCCTTCAGCCAATAAAGAGAATCTGGGTGGTGCCAGTTCTGGAAGGTCTTTGATTGCGCAGTGCATAAGTCATCTAACTTGCTATGAAAGATAAAGGAAGCTATGATAATCAGAGGAGGATCAGGGGGTCTAGTCCCTAGCTGAGTGACCATACTATTCAGCTGAATCATCCCTTCCCTCAGAACTGCTGTGCAGTAAAAAAAAAATGAATAGAAAACTGCATAAAATAATGAGCCTTTCTGGAGGAAGAAGACTGGATAAAAATAATATTTATTATTTTTAAAAGGTAGCAAGCCTCATCATTGTTCCATCTAGTCCCTATGGTGTTGCTAAACTAGATCGCAGTAACCATCTCACATGATGGGACTAGGGGTTCAAAATGTATCAAGGACCTTATTTGGGACAAAAATAATCCAAAAAGAGGGAGGGTAGAACAAGGAAGAAAGGGTTAGCTTCATTTTATACTCTGAAAATAAGGTTTTAATGAAAGGCACCGAGGGTGGGGGATAAGAAAATATGGGGCATTAGTTCCTTAGATGATAATGCATACACTGTTTTGCTTTTTTCAAAATCTGATAATAAACCAGACTTGCTACATTTGGGGATCCTTCTTTCTAAATCTTGCCCCAAGGAGCTCTGACTCCGTTGTCACTCCTTTGTATTTGTTTTAATTATACTACAAACAATAGGTTTGTTTAGTTGATGTTCAACATGAGTGCAACTAGAGGAATCATTGCACCCACTAGACTTCACTAGTCCCACCCAAAAAACCCTTACATCCGATCCTTACTATGACCAATCCTGTTGAAGATTCATTTGTGAAGGAAGCAGTCTACATAGGAAACGGGTTTAAAGCCTTAAAAATCTCTTATCTCGATGCCCCAGATCTCTCTCTCCCTCTCCCTCCCCCTCCCCCTCTCTCCCTCTCTTCCTCCTCTCCCATTCTCTCTGTCACACACACACACATACACTCTCACACACAGAGATTCAGAAAAAAATACCCTGCGCAACGGCAGAACCTAGCCCATCAGGATAAGCAGGTTTGGAGCTGATCAGTAATTGGATAAGGTATCCATGCTTCTGTACTAATTGGGAACCTACCAAGACGTCCTGGAACGGGAAGTGGCAAAGCAGTCCCCCCTGGATGCTGAGGAAATTATTAAGTCTCCTCACAGGCACCAGAAGACAAAGTCGACTACAGACTTTGCAAGGGGAGGGTGGGTGCGGCGAGTGGAAAGAACAAGAAGCAACGGGAGGGGGAAATCCAGCCGCGCTCCTATGCCATCCCAAGTGATCGAACCGACCACCAACTGGGAATAAACGGCAACTCTTTGCGTTTGAGAGGGGAAAGAAAGGTGGACCAGCGCCTCCACCTCGCCAGAAGCATCGCCCTTTTTTCAAAATGTCTCAATCCTAACTTACCCAAAATCTCCTTCCTCCGTTGCGTATGGGGCTGTTCAGTGTAAACCCACTCGAAATCCCCGCGGGTGACCCGGTTACCCATTCCTACTATCGCACTAAGCAGGCTCGCCTCCGGTGCTGTACAGAAAAGCGCGCTCCAGAGACGCACCTTATATTAGCCTGGAGAAGCCTGGAGACAAACTCCGCCCCACGCTCGCCCGCTTCAGCCACCGAGCTCCCAGAGCCGTCCAGCGAACTTTGGCTTTGTGAATAGAATAGAATAGAATAGAATAGCATAGCATAGCATAGAATAGAATAGAATAGAATAGAATAGAATAGAATAGAATAGAATAGAATAGAATAGAATAGAATTCTTTATTGGCCAAGTGTGATTGGACACACAAGGAATTTGTCTTTGATGCAAATGCTCTCAGTATACATAAAAGAAAAGATACATCAAGAATCATCAGGTACAACACTTAATGATAGTCATAGGGTACAATAAGCAATCAAATCATACTAGGAAACAGTCAGTTAAAATCTTTAGAATACAAGTGACAAAGTTACAGTCCTACAATCACAAGTGGGAGGGGATGGGTGATAAGGAGTGATGAGAAGATTAACAGTAATAGTAGTGCAGACTTTGTAAATAGTTGAACAGTGTCGAGGGAATTATTTGTTTAGCAGAGTAATGGCTTTAGGGGGAAACTGTTCTTGTGTCTAGTTGTTCTGGTGTGCAGTGCTCTATAGTGTCGTTTTGAGGGAAGGAGTTGAAACAGTATATGTCCGGGATGTGAGGGGTCTGTAAATATTTTCACGGTCCTCTTTTTGACTCGTGCAGTATACAGGTCCTCAATGGAAGGTAGGTTGGTAGTAATTGTTTTTTTCTGCAGTCGTAATTAATCTCTGGAGTCTGTGCCTGTCCTGTTGGGTTGCAGAACCAAACCAGACAAGTTATAGAGGTGCAGATGACAGACTCAATAATTCCTTTGTAGAACAGAATGGAGTGAAGCTCCCCTTTTGCATTCAGGAGGGCCGGCGGGGCACCCTCCTTTGCTGGCTGGTTGGAGCCCGCTGGCTTCCTTTGGCGGAGGGTGGTGAACATTCATCGTTTAGAGCCACTGCTCCCTTGTCCCCACCAAGCAGAAGGCTCTTGGCTTGGGCTGGGCAATTCTGGAGGACCGTGAGGGAGGGGTGGTTGTGGTGCAGAATCCCAAGAGGGGATTTGTCCCAAAGGTGCTTTTTTACAAGCAACTGGATTTTCTTTGAAGACATTTTGCTTCAAAGAAGCATCCAAGAAGCTTCTTCAATTCTTTCAAGATGAAAGGTCTTCAAAGAAAAACCAGAAAGTCCAGTTGCCTGTTGAAAAAAAAGCACCTTTGGGGAAACCATGACCTGAATGACTGAGAATCTCCATAGGCAAGAGGAGCTTTCTAACTGTGGAGTGAGATAACTGAGGGGTCTCCAAACTTGGCAACTTTAAGATTTGTGGACTTCAACTCCCAGAATTCTCCAGCCAGCTGTGGGGACCTCTGAGTTAGTGAGAGGCGACCAGGGAGTGAGCAAGAAATGGCTGGGCTGACAGACAACACAAAAGCTTGGAAGGAGTAGGACCCCCGGAAGGATAGAGAGAATGTTGTCCTGCTTGATCAGGGGTGAGACCCAGTGGGTTGTGGAATGCCTTACAGTGGGTATGGCTTTAAGTGATTTGTCTAGAACTCAAAATATGAAGCAAATATGATTGCATTCTGATGAAAGAAGAATGCAGAAGTGTGCTACAATTAAAACAACTTCTGCAAAACCTTCAGATTAGCACGGTTTATAAATCATAGCAACAATCTTATGAAAAGTCCAGAACAGGAGAGGAAGTTCATATGGGATCTAGATATATGATCTTGCAGGAATCCTCCTGAGGAAGATGTCAAAGATAACCTCAAAGGGGATAGAAGCTTCGTTTAGCAGACTGGCTCAGATCCAAGCATGGTACTTAGCTTCTTGATCCACCACTGGCCGGAGCTGCAGGAATATCATTGATCATTCAGATCTGATTAGCCTGAAGAGTCAGAAAATTACATGCCTAACTTTAAATTCTTGTTAGGAAAATAACATTAATAACAATAGATTGTGGCAGTGCTTGGAGACAGCAGAAGAGAAGGGAAACAATTGGAGATGATAGCAAAACACAAAGACCTGCAAATAAAAATAAACCAACTCTGGCAAAAGAAATCAAGTAATGTCTATGGACATTCTCAGTCAGCCTCAAGATATTTTCACCCCTCTCTATTCTTTATTTGCTGCT